AATTCTTTCTGGCCTAAAATGCAACACCCTCAGCCCTAACCCGAAATTGGACCCTTGAAACCACCCATTCACACCGTGTTGATACAAATAGTGAACTGGTTCAGCCGTACCCACCTGGGGTTGATCCCCCATATGTGCCCACACCTGCAACTCCGAGGGTCACATACTTGCAGTAAGTACACACCTTTGACCCATAACAGCCTATGGTAACTGTTGTACCTTATTATCCAGACCTGATTGTTGCCGCCATGCTGAATTGGACGGCAGCTATCTGGCAACTTGGGACAAGTGTTGGTGCAACTGTATGAATTTATGTTCGCAATTATTATTTTCATTTGAATTCTTGATTTTTGATGTTTTGAATTGATCCAAAATATTCATTTTGCTGAATTTTGATTGATGTTGTTCATGTTATAGAGACTGGTATGATTTGTGTGTGTAACTTTGTGTTTGGTTATATGTTTGTGAATGTAGTCTTGTAGGTATATCGGATGGGTAGTTATCCTGTTTCTAATATTGTTCCCTTGAGCATAAAGTAATTATTTTCCAATATTGATCTTGCTTCTGATGGAGTAGAACCCTTTTGTATATTCAATACTTATTAACATGAACATCATAAACAATTCATTATGCGGATTAGATACAGGATGCTAAATTTGGGTGCGTTTGGAGTGTAAGAAAAGATTGTCTGTAAGAGATATGTTACTGTACGTATTCCACATCCTTAGATCGGATGGACTCACCTTCCTTTGTATGTCAAATGATACCTTCAGGAGTAAGCACAAAAGAAGAAAAAGAAATTATAATCGCCCTTTTTGATAATGAAATTTACTATGTTTTTGGAAGTATTTGTTGGACATTTCTAGGAAAATCAAGAGTCTTGGATTAGTTCATTAATATTTGGGCTTCTTGTTGTTGGACATTTTTAGGTTTTATTGTGAGTACAAATAATCTTATGCTTTTTATAGTTGATCAATGTGTGTAACTTTGTGTTTGGTTATATTATGCTTTTCATAGTTGATCAATGTTTACAATTTTCGGGACAAGATTTCTTCATGGTTTATTGATATGTCCATTTTTGGAACTCGCGTAGCTATGTTTGCTTGACTTTTTGTTGCTCATTTTGTATATCATTTTGTATTTGCCTAAATATTTGTTCT